ACATTGTTATTGTATTGAATAAAATGCTTAGCGTGTTAAATGAATGTGTTAATATAGTGTTAAACTGTTAAAAGATGTTGTAATATTGTGAAATTAAATTCAATTCCAATAAAGCGTCAGCTCCATAACATCCATGCAGATCGACTTATAAGTAAAACCATAGTCAGGCTTAGAACTGGCCATCACAGAGGATTGAAAATTCACAGGAAGACCTACAGAAAGTGTGATAACTGCCCGAGCACAGAACTGACAACTGTACACACTTTTTCACGTCCGGTCCTCCTTTCTGAACTGTTAAAAATTGGGGTCTTGTTTAAGAAACCGAACTTCTAGGATGATAACATTTTCCAGATTGCCAAGGCTGTCATCTTCGTCCATGGCACTATTTGAATAGGCTTTATCATAGACATGACAACAAGAACAACAATATTGTGAAAGTAGTATCTATTTAAAATGTGTACTGTCTGAAATTTCGAAAGTACCCTGTAAGCAAGCTGAATTTAGAAATATGTAAAAACTACTTCATTGATATGAAGCAAATTTTCCAAAATCTTATTTTCTAGATCGAACATAGTTAAAATTGCTAGTTAGTCGAAGTCGGAAATGTTAAATTTCAAATTCTTGCCTCAAGGTTGCGAAGCAGGAAGTCTCTAGGGCATTTTGTTGTTATATGCAGGCGATCATGAGAAGAGCTCTACTTGATTGAAACGAATAGTTCCGAATAACCCCCTTCCCTATATCTTATTGGGGAGGTGCTGTAAGGACAGCGAAATCTCTGGTTCCACATCTCATGCACAGTTAGGCTTATAGCATTCCCGTGGTTCCAGGCAAAAAAACATTCGGTGCACGTTCAGAAATGTTCTCAGCCAAGCCTAATGTCACAAAGTCAGATGTGGTCACTGTAGGCGAGTATCCCTTCTGTGGTTCTTCTCTCGACATGAGGGAGGAGCGGCAATGCATGAGTGAGCTCTCCTGCTTATGCTGCTAATTGGACCCAACACCCCTGAGCTAGCCACTCGCTGTGTCCGTTTTTTGGAAGTCAGTAATATGGGGAAGATTAAGCTGCCTTTCACAGAATTACAATCACCGTTTCTACGGTGGTCCGTTCAGGTGCAGCGGGGATTCGTAAAGGTACTGTAAAGCCTGAAATAGAGCTCGGTGTATCGCTATAGTATGTTTGATTCAGCAAAGAGTCGTCCTCTAGAGTTTAAGCCCTTTTAGAAGTCTTCCAGGAATAGGCATTACTCGTGTATGGGTTGCTTACGCAACCTGGGTCTGAGCCTACTGTCCTGGAGTACTATTGTACGCAGTACCATTTACATTGTTAATATTCCATACGTCAAATAAACAAATGCTAGACCCCTGAAACATACTTCAGGACATATGTAGAAAGCACTCCAACACCTTTTTCTCTCTTTTTTTTTTTCATTTCAATATACTCTCTTTCTTTTTCATTTCAATATACTCTCTTTTTGTTTCATTTCAATATACTCTCTCTTTTTTTTTTTTTTTTTTCCATTTCAATGTACTCTCGCCACAGACGCGGGACGTTTGCAGATATGAGTTGCTCTAGATAGTTAGTGTAACAAGGGCTATACTAATTCTGTCTATGGCGCTATGATGGTGCCCTATCCATTCGTTCCTGTTCTGTTTAAATTCAAATATCGGTGGGCCCGGGCTCGAATCCCGGAAAAGGCATGTATGTTTGCAAGCGTATAGGTGTCTGCAACGTCAAGGAGGCATTCAAAATACATAACGAGACTAAAGTCTTTTAGAGAGGTTGATGGTATGGCATGAGGGGGTTGGAAGACTTTGGAACCCCCCAGGTGTTCCCCTCAAAATTTGGAGGACTGTATTCTAGAATATGCATACGTAGCACATTTATGTGTATGTATATATTTCTATTTTTTACTGTAATCTAGAATGCGTGAGCCTAACATATTTATGTCTATGTACTTTTTTTTTCAATTTTCGCTACAATCTAGAATATGTGATTATAGCATAATGTATTACCCATCCGCTGACAAAAGTTCCCCTCTTGTGTACTCCAATATGTGTGTGTTCACTCTCATTACATCACTGATTCGTACCATGATTTAAGTGCATTTTTATAGATGCACCTGTACAATGTATTTATGTAATTATTTTTGCTTGTATATATAACATGTCTACTGTACTAATGCAATGGACATACTTCTTTGTAACACTCATGACGTTAAGAATTGTAACACTATTTTGTAAACTTTATCAGTTCAACATAGTATCAATTATTATCTGGTCTGCTATACTAAGCATAGACTGTGATATAACAGATATCACGGTTCTTTCCATTAGGATGGAATTGAAATTCCGTGAGGCATCACGTCTGGGTCGGAAGTCACCTCTGCCGTGTAAATGTAAATGCAAAAACGGGTGGAAGCTTAACAGTTAGCTAGGTTCCTGTGGCACAGTCACCTGTACCACAGTCACCTGTGGTGCTGGCCTAACTTCTACCTGTACCTATTTAAATTGAAATTAAATAAAAAGGCTATTTAAGACTTTCCTAGTTCTGTTGTATTCGCATTAAATAGAGTGATAACTCGCTTGTTAGTCTTCAAGGTTCTGTAGAACATTTGAGTTAATATAACACAATTAGGACCCTATATGAACATAAAAAATTAACAGGTAATAACTGAAAGAGAGCAAAGAATTAGATCCAAATTCCTTACATGATGAGACATCAAACATAAGCGTTATCTCGATGTTTAGCCTGCAAAAAGTAACTGCAGACGCTTAAATTACATTGGACAAGTTCTATCGAAACTGCATTCAGAGCTGTTTTCATCATAATTTGCACCAATTTTTACAATGAACTACTTTTTTGTTTATTTTATATTGCACAAAGTTATTCTCCTTAAATATTTAACAATTTTTATTGTTATTCGTTCACACCAAGAATGTTGGACAAGATTATGCCCTAAGAAAGGCGGCTTTTATCCTCAGTATTCTGAAGGATTATGGATGGCTTCTTTTCGAAGTATATAAAAATGTCATTTGAGCTCTAAATTCCTTTGTTTGGTTCATGGAAAGGGGGGGGGAAGAAATTGCAATCATTTCAAATGGCATATTGGGCAATATTATATTTTGACTGTCCAGTTTACGACGTATTATTTTGACTGTCCAGTTTGCGACGTATTAAAGCACTGCTAGGAAAGATGGGCCTGTTTCAAGGATTGGCAAAGAGATCTCTTCGAGGTACAGAATTAATGTCATCTAAGCTCTAAATTCGTTTGCTTGGTTCATGGAAAGGGGAAAAGACATTGCAATCACCTCAAACGGCATATTGGGTAGTATCGTATTTTGACTGTATACTTGCGAAGGATTTTTCGGTTAAAGCATTGCTACGAAAAGTCTGCCTACTTCAAAGATCGGCAAAGAGATCTCATTACCAGAATATCCTTGAAATTTCCGCTGCAGACGTACATAGTGTCAAAAAAAAGGTGGGCAGTTTATATAGCTTCTATTTCAGTTAGCCAATCGAGGAAATTCAACCTACATTTTTCACAGCTTGAAAGCGCGACTTAAGATATGCATTAGATTTATATATACGTTTGTTCTAGCATACGTAATTTGAAACAAAATCAGACTTTTTCTGAAATGAGTTACCGATTTTTTTTTCCATATTTTCATTCTATGACTCAAATTATGATAAAGTATCAAGTTCTGTAAAAATCGCGGAATCACTTTTTTGAACTTGGCACTCAAAATTTTAACGTGTCAAGTTAATTAAATTTTGTACATATTTAAAAATATGTCTTTTTTAATTATACTTGATTTCTTCTTTCATAATTCAAGATTTAGGTTCAGTCTAAATAAAATTCACACTTTTTTCTGATTTTTAATAATTTATGTTTAATAATCTAATTTAAATTTGCATTTTTAATAATTTTTATACACTTTTCAAAAACGTTTTAAATTATAACCTGTAAAAGTTTTAACATTATTTTAAAGAAGTTATATTTTTAAGCATATTTGCAAAAAATTAGAAATTTTTTTCCATTAAAAAAGTCTGAAGACATTCGTGAATTTATATCTTGGCAAGTTTTGAACTTTAGCATCTTTGTTATAAACTGTATTAAAGACGCAAAACTTGGTTTACGCACTTTGTCACAATCTTCAATGAAATGCCACAGTGGTTAGCGTCGCTGACTGCCGTGCCGAAGGGCCGGGGTTCGAATCCCGGAAAAGGCATGGATGCTTGTAAATGCATAGCGTCGGTACTCCAAATATGGGACGAGCCGAAAGTCCTTTCGTGTGGTTTGGTGGAAGGGGAGAGGGGTGAGAGACCATCGGATCCGGATCTTATAATAATTAAATGCTTAATATTACAATATAACCTGGCTTTAGGGTTACTAAAAATATTTTATATTTATCCTTTTATGTGTACAAAAAACACATTTACCTATATATTTTATTTATTTTAAAGCCATATATTTACCGTGTGTGCATCACTGTATATATTTTATGTATTACACTTGATCAGTCAAAACGGATTTTATAACTACTATAAAATTCTGTGAAAAATGTATGACACAAACAAATATGATAATGCAGAAAGCTAAAATATCTAACATTCTAAATCACAAATCCTACAAAAACTCCATGTAAAAATATTTCGACTGTGTGAAGGTGCAATAAAACGTTAATAGAACTGAAAAAAAAAAAAAAAAAAAAAAAAAAATAAGGTTGATATTAATAATTACTGAAGCAGTAGACTTTCCAGTAGTGTGAATTACTCCACCTTCCATTTGATTGAAACGCCAAAGAAAGCATTTAGGTGAAACTGCTGAGAATGTTACTGCTTCAGTTAATTCTTAACAAATATTCTTCAAATGCAGCATAACAAAATATAAACAAAACAAAATAATATAACAAAATATAAACTTTCTTTTCCTTCAAAATGTCACAAAAAGTGTTATCACTAATACGTGTATTAATTGAAAGTAAAAATTTTAAAATACCTTAGACATAAATAATTCATCTACATATTTCCACTGTTTTTGGGCAGCAAAGGATCTCAAGGCAGCCCATGTATATTGCTTGTTTGACAGCTAGGACAAAAAAACAAATATACAGGTAGGCTTATACTTTAGACAGCAGAAAAATGCAAAATAAATCTAACAACTGGAAGAAAATTAAAAATTCCATTTGGCAGAACAAAGAATTATCATGGTAATAAATATCTAAAATATAATTAATTTTAGTAAGAAACAACATTTTACAGCCATTATGAGGGTTGAAAAACAGGTTCAAATTGAAACACAATATCTTATTCTTAGCATTATGCAATGTAAATTTTTCATACTATAAAAAATACAGAAATAATTTAAAACCATAAATTTAATTTTGCGTTTTTTAAGAAGAAAGTAATTCAGAGATATCATGGATATTTATTTCTAAAAAATGGTACTTACACGGTAGTGCACTCGGAAAATACTAAGAGGATACTGAAAGAAAAATGAGAATAACATGATTTGACTCTGCACTATCAGTACCATATTATTACACTTACTTATATACTTACTTATGAAGTACAGTGCACTACCAGTAGTACTCTGCATTGTACTTCATAAGCAAAATTATGAAGGAGAACAAGGAATAAAAATGAAAAATATCTTTCAGAAAGCTAATGTAATGCACACTTTAATATGAGAACTAACAGTAGGCTATTTTGCATATAAGAAAGACAACTACAAATTTTAATTTATAAAATTTCTACATTGAAGGAAAAATTTACAATATTTGCACATTTAAAAATTAATATGAGAACTAACAGTAGGATATATTGCATATAAGAAAGATAAGCACAATTTTTTACTATAGTTTCGTGCACATTTAAGGACAAAAACTTAAATCATATATAGTCTTTCATGACAAACATTGCTTTTTGTTATTAATTTCTTTAATCATGAACTGAAATGGCTTCAAATACTATACTGGGCAAGATTAAATTTAACAACTTTGTTATTATAGTCATTTAACTTTATTTTTTAACATTTAAATTTTCACATGACAGTGTTTCAGTATTCACTAAAATTTTCACTCTTAATGGTTTTAGAAGAAATACAATATGGTATCGTATCATGGCAAAAAGCCGCATTTAATTGTGATGCGCTCTTAGTGTTCAATTAAATGCAAGATCTTGCATAGTAACCTGTGTTTGAATTACAGCTAGAAAAGTGTTTGAAATGATAAATGCAATGAATCGCTATTTGATTATCAAATATTGATAGCATTGAATCATGCAATTGATTGATTTCCAAGGCAGAGAACCAAAAAATTAAATTAATATTATTCAAAACAATGTGACTTTGCAATAGCTTCCACTGGAATGCTGAACGCAGATCACCTCGTCATTTACACTCTTTCACATGTCTAGAATACATAATGAATATATGCTCTTCCCTACCTCAGTGGAGCCTAGGCTATCTCCTAGTTGGTCTTTTGGTCATTCTGCTTTTTATTCTGCTATAATGTTAATTTCTTCATTTCGTCCTCATTTTTTGCACACCACTGAGAAAACTGAGTAATGTCACCTACTTTTATCCATGCAGAGGAAACTTAAGTGTTAATTTTGGTACTCGCATGTGTTAACTAATTTACACATTTAAAACATGCTGTTGAATATGCAGACCTGGTGTATAAATTTGACATGCAAATTTGATATGCATATTTAACATGCATGTACCTGATATATGTAAATGCATTCAAACATGCATTTTATTTTGAGGGAAACAAAATTACAGATTTCTTAAAAATATTTCAAGGTACTGTTAAACATTGTAATCTTAACTACATTACCAACTAGAAGATTGGTTACATATGAGTTTCTCATCCCTTCACACAGGTAGCAGAAGTAAAATATAAGGTTAATTTTTAATACGTTTCTGTTACTGAAAGTCTAGGTTCAAAATAAAGCTTGGAGGTCAAACGTAGCTATTTTAACATAAAATAGAGATATACTTTGATAGCAGAATTTAAAATTTAAGATAAGGATAATTATTCTACACTTTATAACGTACTCTAAAATAACCTTTGAAGTTTATCATAAATCGCTATTTATCCTTTGGTATGGATGATTACCATCTAGTAAATCAAATGAATTCTTAAACATCTTTTCATACACTTCAAACACCTCATTAGAATGCTGATACACAAATTGAGAAATATCAAATCAATAAAAAAGTTCTATATTATGAAGGGAAAATACTAAACAAAGCTCATCTTAAAATGTTATGAAGAAACTACACATTACTCGAATAAAATAACACTACTCTAGGCACTATTATTAATATTATTAGATAAAAATGATTACAATTTAGGAAAAAATGAAATATGGAATATTTCTCATAATCATGTCGAATTTTATGTAATACATCTAATTTTACATACATATATCATATTCCGGTAATTCCAATATTTGAGTTAATGAAAATGCAGCAGAATGAAAGAAAGAAATTGACTGATAATGAAAAACTGCAGTTCTTTATCAGAAAGCACATGACAGTTTTATATAATCTACCGTTTTTCTTGATCTTTTCTGGATAACTTTTAAAATTTGATTAATATTTAGAAAAACTTTTCACTCTTAAAAGCCTGTAATAAAATATACAAATTAAAATTTATACCAGGGAAAAAAAATCTGCCTTACAGTCGCATAGACAAACAAAGCCAACATGGCAGGAGTGAACAGATATCAGAACAACGGCAATGAGAAATTAATGAACAAACGACCTATAAAAAGCATTAAAATAAATAGCAATAGCCTGATTTGGGCTAAATCAATGAAGAAAAAATTCTGAATCCAAAAATCGCATGCTATTGCTTGAACCATCCCTGACAAATTCAAGAAAAAAGTTATTTAATTATGAAATCAATTTAAGACGAATAAGGAAAGTGGAAGAAAGATCAAGAAGAGTGTTTACCTGGCTACTATGGCTGAAAAATTCTGCCTAATGGAAGAAACAAATGATTGGCAAATCAAATTACAGAAATACTTAATTGAGTGATGTAATTTATTTCTTTTGGTTTAGCTAAAATGCTATGGCAAACATGCAAGCACTATATGAAGACTGGCTTTAGATAAGGATGAATATTAAGTTCGGAATGTGTAATTATAATGACTCGGTGCCTTTGCACTAGTTGTGTTGGCTCAAGCGTAGGCCCTGGATATTCGTCTATGCGCGTCTTCAAAGTGTACAGGCAGATTACTGTTCAGTAATTGGCAGATTGCTACATATTGCTTTAGATTTTTAATCATTTGCATATTCAGTCCTGCTTTGTTTCATATTAGATCAAACTATATCTCTGAATGCACCAGTTGTTAAAGAATTTACATAAATACGTTCTCGTCAGCTTACAATGAAGTTATAACCTAATAAGCACGTCATACACTGAAACTAGAAGTGAAAATTGCATCTAATGCACTTCAATTAAAACAAAGCTCATTTTACCATAAAATTTTGAAAATCTCACATAATTTATTTATTGCTGAGATTGGGGGGGGGGTAGAAGTACGATTTTATATACATGTCAACTGCCGTAAGACGACTCGCAGATCATTAATACAAGCAACATAATGCACATTATAATTGGAGAATATTTAAAGAATCCAGCCTGGATCATAAGCAATGTTACAACCGACAGTGCCATCAGCTTCATTTTCTTGTGACAGAGGAAATAATAAGTTTCGATGTAGCGGGTATCCATGTTATTGATGATTTTTCAAGCATAACACGATCTAGAAGATATAAAATTTTGATTGCAGAATCTGTTTCTTCTTTCCGTTGCATATTACTCTATAGCAAGCAAGATAATCAAATACCTGCCTTGCACCGTTGGCAAGGCAGGTGCCAATGAGCCCAATGAGGCCCACCACCGGCCGAGCGGTAAAGTCGTTGAACACTGGTAGTTCGGTTCGAGATTCGAATTCCTCGAACGGGGTCGCTGCATGGGCGTTTTCGTGGTTTTTCCCATGTGTAACGTGTATACGAGCCAGTTTCCCTTAGGAAGGTCCTCCACGAAGACATCCTTACCCTAAAGCAGATAGCCCTCGAGGTTTTGCCGTAAACTCATAAGAAACCAAGTCCAACCCAAAGAAACAGACAGAAAATATGACAGAGTAGTCGCCAATGTACAATATTTTGCTGATAGTATTCTTCCGCACATGAAAACATGCAAATGCTCGAAAACATGAAAATGAGATTTGACACATCAAAATTTGCCATTCATCCACAAAACATTCTTAGGCTCAAGTAGAACAAGTTACCCAAAAGATGTATAGTCTACTGAGGTATTTGTTTTAATTACAAAACAAAAAGGAAACATATTTGGCGCGAAATCGCTCGTCTGGCGAAAATATTGGCGAGATTCCATACAGAACCTTTTGGAACGAATTCTTACCGGTTTGGCCCAGAATGTTCTCAAACGCATGCCAAAAGCTATATAAACTCTGCTGGTACGCGGAGTAGCAGTCGATCGTGAGTCTATTGAGTTGATCGTCGAGTGTATCGCGAGTTGGTGCATCAAGAGTGTGCATCGTTGGGGGTTATCGAGTGTATCGTCGAATGCATCGCGAGTTGTAGCTTGGACAGTCTCGAGAGTACGTTGAGCTCCAACAACGACAGAACCGAGTCGGGACCTTTACTCTAGAGCTCTTTGCCGTGAAGCTGTCTTTATTGTTATACCCTGATAGCCTGAAGGCTGTGTTTCAGATTGTTTTAGCGTGTTTGTTGTAGTTTTTCTACGACTGTAAACGTGTTTTTGGAGTTGCCATGAGTAATACTGGCTAATAAGTTGTGTTTTCATTCTTCATAAAGTGTTGTCGTCATTCAACCTAAATCCACGAACCCGTAGAATCGCAACAACTGGTGTCAGAAGTGAGATTTGCGAGTGGATGCCAGTGACCCAGGAAAAAGACATGGAGGAGGTAATTTAGTTCACGGACTTCTTAGCAGCTGTAAACGCCGGACTTTAAGAGTTGAAAGCCGGATATGAAGAGATGAAGGCTGAGATCAAAGCCGGATATGAAAGGATGAGCGCTGAGATGAAAGCCGGACTGGAAGAGATGAAAGCCGGACAAAAAGAAATTAAATTCGGCCAAGAAAAGCTGCAAGAGCAACTCCAACAGATGAAAGTGGAGCTTACAGAAGAAACTGGAGTTATAAAAGAAGATGTGGGAATGACAGTAGTGGCATCTGAAGAACTGAACAAAGTAGTTGGTGAAGTGTCTTAAAAAGACAAGGAAATGATGGATGAAACATCGAACGGGATTAAAGAAAAAGAACGAAAATATGAAGAAACAAAAGACGGGAAAGAAGCTTTTGATTCTCAAGTGCATGAAGTAGAAGTGGAAGAAAGTGAAAATGCGACATTTAAGTTCGTAGAAACTGATGATGAAGTTACAAAGTCGCAGTTAGCAAGTATTGAACCATCTGAAAATTCATGTGATGCGCAGACAGATGGGAGAAGCTGATGCACAGCTTAAACAGAGTATTCCGGTACTGCAAGAAAATACAACCACTTCTCGAATTAAGCATGTGTCGCATAATACAATTAGTATAGACACATACTTAATCATTAACCAGGATACTTCTGTTAGTTTTTGGACGACTGTAAATGTGTTTTTGGAGCTGTCCTCAGTAATACTGGCTAATAAATTGTGTTTTCATTCTTTATCAAATGTTGTCGTCAATTACTCCGAATCTACAAACCCGCAGAAAGGCAACAATATTTTTAAATTTTATGTCTCTATAGACGAGGGAAATAAATGAAGTTCTATGGAAATTTATTCCGTTGAGCTTGAAGTAGCTCAAACATTCCGTAGCATGCGTGGGAAGATAAGACCAAAGAAATCCCTTACTGAAAAAGTTAAAAATAAAATATATCAGCCACTGAATAAAAATATTAAAGTAAAGTAAAAGCCATAGGCCTCATCGGACTGACTCTTAACCATTGTGATTGAAGGCAGCGCAAAAAAGATTTAGCGTACCAGACCAACGGTTAGTACAGCGTTTCCCAAACTTTTTTACCGCGGCCCGATACGAGATTTTAAATATTTTCGCGACTCACTTTATAAAAAAAACATTTATTTACAAAATAAATTTTATTTTTTAATAAAAATCAAAATTCAAGTTAATTGTTTGTTTATTTCATACACAAAAATTGCAAAATAATAATAACAAAAACATAAGAATAAGAAATCCATTATCTTCATTTAAAACTTAAAGTAAATAAAGTAAATTTTGCTTTACATATTTTGACCTTAGTGCGAAGGATGATGCTGTTTTTCATCACATAGTAATTTCAAATTGGGACTTAAAGATGTTAATTTTATTCTCAAATTAGGTTCGATATCCAATCTGTTTCGATACTTATTTTTTTAAGTACACCAAGGCTGAGTATAAAGAACGCAGTTTCACACGTATAAGTGGTGACAAAAGGCATTAAAAATTGCATCGCTTTTCCCCCTTACGCTTGTATATTCCTTTTGACAGCGCAACCAAAAATTAATTAGTCGTACAGTTTCAAACACTTTTTTAAGATCGGTGTCGCATGGAATTTCAATTAAATTATCAACTTCTTGTTCACTAAGGTTAAGCATTTCCTTTCATATCAACAGAACAAGATCTTTAATCAATAATTTGAAGATATCCGGAAAGTGTCTTTACAACTATTATTAGCTCCGAAAGATGTTCTTGAATTGAAACTGATAGTGTTCAAGATGTAAATCTTTTATCGTAGTTGAATGGGTTTCAAAATTTATGTAATGTTTCAAAGATTTAAATTCTTTGAAAGTCGTTGTTTCCACGGAGTCATTTTTTATTATTGCGTGACTTTTTCCGATACTTTGAAAATATTTAACCAAAGCGTGCAATTTCAGTTATTATAAGTATTCTCCGCTTCTAGCGTGCCTTCGTGGCGTAACAGTTGATGCTGGGCCTGCATTAGAGGTCCGTGGTTCGTTCCGGAGAAGGCGTTTGCTAATTTTCATTGCATGCTCAAAAATACCTAAGACTTACACATTGAATGTAGCACAATGTCGCACAACTAAGTAATTTATAACATTCGAAATGGCAGAATCTTCCTCAATGAAAAATAGGATCTTTTTAGATGTGGGTGTCTTCAGAATACCAAAGTTCGTCTTTAGCTCAAACAGACGTTTTAAACGTTCTTTTGACGCATCGGGATACAATACAAAAGGAGTGTTTATGATCATTCCATCCTTGAAATCGATAAAAGTCTCTTTGATGGACGAGACTCATGTTGTTTGCAAACTGACACTTCTTCCAAGTCATGTTTAAATTAAAGGCATTCGTTTACAGCCAACGCTTGTTTGATATACAGCACCCTACACAATTATTGTAATTCTTGAATTTGTTTAAACGAACCCTTTATGACAGCCTGCCATTGCACGTGCTCCGTCGCTACTTAACCAAACACAATTCATCCAATCAAGCCGTGACTAGTGACAAAATCATGGTAGCCTTAAAAATTTCATCTGAGTATTCTGTCGGTAGTCTTACAAAACAAAAAATTTTCTTGTTGGTAGGTTCGTAATATATCTCAGAAAACATTAGATCTGCATTATTCTCGATATCTGTGCTTTCATCTATTTGCAAGGGGAAAAATTTTGCCCTTTTTTATTTGAGCAACTAGTTCTTCTTCTAAATGTTTCGCGCAATCATCAATTTTCCGTTTAACTGTATTACTTGATAATGATATCGCCGAAAATAAACATTTTTCCTTTATTCCGCATAAATTATTTGCAACAATTTTCAAAGCGGGAAGTATTAATTTTTTTCCAGCACTATGAAGAGACCCAGTTTCAGCTATTAATTTGGAAATTTGAAAAGATGTCAAAGTGAGGGTTTTTTTGACTGGTGAGGTAAGAGTGTATTTTTCTTTTTATTGAGCAGCAATCAATTCATATTTCAAATATATAGCGATACACGCAGCCTGAAGAAAAACCCATACATAGAAATATTTGAATGTATAATTATTCTTAAGACACAAGTTATTAATCCAAACATTAAAATGCAAATTCAGCAATTATTTCTTTACCTCATTTGAAAAATGATGGTGTAAACAATAAAATATGAGAGTGCTCATTACAGAAGAATCTACCACGTTTCTTTCTCCTGTGATTTCTTTAAAAAGTTTCATTTTGTCAGATTCTTCAGCTTTTTCTTTAAGGTAAGCTTTCTGCAAAATAAAAAATTAAATATATATATATATAACTTCAAATAAATATAAGTTAACGGGTTTATATACTGACATAAAGTTATAGAAGTTTATATTTTGTATCTGTTTTATCTTGTGTAATATCTATGTATCACTGACACATAGATATTACACAAGATTTTTAAGATACACACTAATTCTTCGCACTTATAAGTCTTTTAAGGATATGAGACTATCAATTTCCAGATATTACTGCCTTGCAACAGTTTGATGTTGGTGTGAAATGCATTCTTTCTTAAATTCACTGAAACCTTGGTTAACAAACTTAATTAGTTCTTGAAGATATTTCATCACCCGAAATGTTCGTAAGCAGAAACAATTTTCCCCCTATAGGATTTAATATAAAGTGAATTAACCCGTTCCCGGATCCCAAATGATTGCTTAGAAAAGAGTACTTTGTATGTAAGTTGGTAAAGGGAAACAAATGTTATTCATTCAATATAACACATACACAATATTTAACAAAATGTTAAAACATATAGAAAAAGAGAAAAACTTGAATTAAATTGCACCATAACTCTACGAAGGAAAGCTGACCGCGAAAGTAGAACATGATGAACAAGGCCAAAGGTGCAAAATGTTATTGTTTGAAAGGGAAATCATATTCCGTGAAAATACTTTTTTCTTTTTCTTTTAACAAGCTCGTTTCTACTTCAGCATCGCTAGGCCTTTTCCCATCAAAATTTTGTTGAATATTATGTGTTTCTGTCTACGTTGTAAAATGTTCCTAAACCAAGACAATTGCAAGCATTTAAGCAACTGCTTAATCAAGGTCACAGTGTTTTATGAACCTTTGAACCTTACGCCATTTTGCATAAATTTCGTGGATCAAATAACTAGGAACATCTTCCATTTACGTCTTCTTCTGAAGACGTTCCATCCAGTGCATTATCTGCATTTTCGAGTATCATTTGTTGCTGGCTTATTTGTTCCGTATCGTGAGACCACGTTCGCCACCCAAGACATTTTTCTTTTGGAAGCTTTGTTCGCAAACCGATTTATTCGTGATCCAAGATTCCACTGTAGTCTTTATTTATATATATAATTATATATATATATATATATATATTTTGGTTGTTCCACAGAGCAACTCATCAGTGGCACTAACCAGTTGGCAAACTGGTTAAGCCCAAAAAATATTGGTAGTTTCTTTCAGATTCAGAGTCCAATGAAGAACTGAGTTAATTTCACATCATTGCTGTAGCAAAACAATCTAATTATGATATATTACACCTCTCCTCATAACTTATGAAAAGCAAAAGGTTAATCAGTTATTAAAAATGACACAAATGTCAAAGAAATGATGGCACAATTTGAGCACACGCATTTTTTCGCTTAGTTCAGCTTATAAATAGAGGTTAGGTATCAACTCTCGTACAACGTAGATAATGCATAGAAATTATTTCCGAGCTTCTTATTTCCTACAACGAAGATTTAAATTTGTTTCAAATAGTTTATTCCAACGGAAATATGGTATTTTGTAATAAAAGATTGATACAGAATGCCACCGTACAGAATCATGCTCGACATAGGAATACCTGTGAAGAACTGGTTAAGCCCAAAAAACATTATACTGTGAAGAACTGGTTAAGCCCAAAAAACATTGTACTGTGAAGAACTGGTTAAGCCCAAAAAACATCGGTGTGAAGAACACCGATGTTGAGCGGATTCCACATAGGGAATTCATTGAGTAAGAAATATTGCCTTTCTCAGATTTAAGATTTTCTTAGATTTTTTACTGCTGTAGAATACTTTTAAGAACAAATATAAATTAGGCTATTAAAAAATATTAGAAGAAAATTAACTGATTGTTATATTTATAATTATTATCTTATTCTGCTGACTTTGGGGTTTAACACTAAAAATTTCTTTTTTACTGTACAGATTGTGCGGTACATGTGTTCTGAAGAGCATAGGAAAGAAATCATGCCGAGCCATAGGCATAGCTAAAATTTCAGCCGGAGGGTTGCAGACGACGTTAGACTGACAAAACTATACAAAGTTTGGACTCGAATACACTAACTGGTCGCTGAAATGACAGCTGAGTACTGAAGTCTGCTGCATTAGAATAAGCATTTCCAGGTCATTCTCCTTTCCGGCTTACCTCGCAACATGTTAACGACAGCTGAGAAAAGATGACTGCATCTCCAAACTTTTTTCTTCCACTTTATTTCCGTTAAGCACGAAAAGCGACCGAATAACGACTGCGCTACAATATTGAATGAGGTGAAGAAATTAAGGACTGTGCGATGATGACGAGATCAATTACGATCGCGAATGAGGATGGGCCGTAAAGTCGTTGAAGTGCCTTTTTGTTAAAGAAATAGACTATAGTAGTAGGACCCAAGACTTAGAATTATGGCGAAATGGCTGGCTGCATGAGCAAGACATGCCTCCATCAGGCAGAGAGCTTACTCGTGCATTGTCATAAACAAGTAAATACACAACGGACTACAACGCATGAGTAAACATATTGTTGAAGTTAAAGGAATAGGAATAAAGAAACTAAACTGATTTTCCTTTTTATTTTCTTGCCTTCCGAACTTTCTTTAACTTAGTCGTTAACATATACTATATATATATATATATATATATTTTTTTTTCTGTTTGCGCTAACTCTTCTAGTAGAATTTTTATCGATTTCGGTTCTTTAATCTGAAGTAACTTCTGATGCACACTCAACAAGCTTAACCCTACTGTTGAGTGAACCAAATTTTTACACGAGGCAAGGTATTAAATCAGCACTCAGTAACGGCTCAGACAAATAATAAAAGAAGCATGTTTTGTTTGACGGGGGGGGGGGAATTGTGCCTTCTTTTGTAACCTTCTTTTGTAAAGTTTTGAAATGTTAACTCCCGTTTTGAAATGAATCCGGAGACTATAAAGACATCTCTAGAGGAATTCCATATAGCGTTGGTATCCTACACTTATTGTCGCGCGCAAAAGAAGATGATAACAGGGAATTAGGGTTTATAATTTTATTTCTTCTGCAAAAAAGGACTTTTTCTGCGACTTGTTGAGTAGCAGCTCCTTTTGTCCATCACAGACTTATTCTTCTATAATATAATATAATGGCAGACAGCACACGGCAGGCATTTCTGCTTTTTTTTTTTTTTTTTTTTTGGTGTGTGTGTGTGTGTGTGTGTATAGTTTCTTGGCAAGCTAGGTCGCCGTATCTCTCTTGCATAAACACATTTGGAGGCTGACGAGACGTTCTTTTCTGCCATTCCTAAGTGTTGGCAAATTATTCAGACAGTTGAAGACAACATAGGAAAAATTTTCCAAGACACCATCTGCAAATTCTATAAGTCAGTGCAAAGTTAGGTAAAAGCTTGTATCCAGGCCAGATGTGGGCCAATGCCTTATTGACTCTCTCATTTTGTGCAGATATTTCTTTTAAATAAAGCACACATTTTTTCTGAAACTGCAGTCGTTATTTTTTTCTGTACACGCACATCACATTTACCAATTTATCTCAATTGGACAATCCTTTTTAATGCATAGATTTTTATATCTTACAGCGTATTTGAAAATCCATTCAAAAATAAATAGGTTAACAAAATTACCCAAAAAGTTATTATTAATTACAGATAAAAAATGTCGTCATTACTTCTATGGATAGTTGCTCTTCAAGAATCTCTTTGTGTTCCTGTACGGATGATATTAGCAGTCCACTAATATTGCCAGAAAGAAAATGGGTACTACAAAAAGAATGCACAATATTTAGAGCAATATAAGAATATTTAGCAAAATAAGAATGCAAAAAATAGTAATCTAAATATTATAACAAATTCACAAAAATTAAAGCCATAACAAAGAAATGAATAAATAAAATTAATTAAATATAAGTATTAAATTTATTATATCAGTGAAGTAGCGAAAAGTTGTTAATGGTTAAAATAAAAGGAAAAGACACAAAAATGCATAGAATATTTTCGAATGCCAACGATAAAAAGTGTGTTGCCATTTTTCTTTGTTAAATGAAATATAACAAACTGAATTAATGTAAAAGATTGTTAGCTGAAATTAAATGCAGATGAGGAAACTTAGGTCAATTATGCACATGATTATGAAGAAACAAATCTACAATATTTTGCTCATTATACAATGACTGATAAAGGGAAGAAATTCTGGGTTGAGGAATGGATAATGTTAGTTCATACATAGAGTAATATCTCACAGCACCGTGTTTAGATGCTAGTTAACATATAATATAACGCAGACAAGGTAAATATACTGGGAATGCATAAACAAACTGTAAGCTATTTGAGGTACGATGTACAAGCTATGTAAAAGCTTTGTAGTACTGTAGGTAATTCAAGGAATATATAGACAAGAGCAAGTATAATAGAGTTAAAAAAATAGACATATGTAAATAATCAGAGGTTATGTGAGACTTACTAGGGACACAGCTTGTTTCATTGTTATCTCCTTTATCTTCTTACTTACTTAATACTATTTATCTGATCAGCTAAAACTTCTGGTGGTGCACTGTAGATAAAAATTCTAAAGTCTGCGCAAAGGCCCAGTAAGATTACCATTTTCGTGTAATTCTATGCGTTTTCTGCTATTTATGGAAATCTGTGTTCCATAAGGAGGTAGAACAGTGAGAAACATGGCGAAAGAAATTCGTGCTACGATAGAGTCTCGCAGACTCGATATAATGTGGACTGAGAGAATGTCGAGCTTCCAAAAAAGTCGAGTTTTAGGAATAAGAGGTACGTTTTTCAGAACTCTTAATATTTAACCCTTTGATGTCCAACACCTAAATCCATGGTAACTTTCTTTACACTTTCCCCTTTGTCCAGTTTCTTTAAGGCATGTAGTTTCATTTCCATTGTCACGTTAGTTTATTTTCTTTTCTTTTCGAACTACGTTTTCATTTCACAGAATATCAAAAGTTCCCAAAAATATGTAACACTTATACGCCTGGATATGAATTGGAGAACGACACTCGCAATGAACTGGCGCGCGAGTTTAGTTTGTAATATGATGCAGTCACAAAACTTCAGACAAGTATCCTAACGTTTCGCAACAACAGAAAGAAATGTGAGCGAGCGGCCAGCCGCTACCTGACTTTCTTCGTATCCTCGAAAGCAGCAAGCAGTGTTGGCAAGTGTTACAACATATCTTGAAATTTGTTACGCAGTTCCAAGAATTAATGGTACATTGCGAAAATGGCAAAAATTACAGAAAAAGAACACTCAAATCTTTGAACAGAATAGAAAGTCATACGCAGAAATAATAATTATATGTACGGTATGTAATATGTCTTCTGTTTGGCCTAGAGATATCTTAAAAAAGTTCCTAAAAAGTTGTCAAGTTATAGGGAATGTCGAGATATTGGAATAGCGTTTACAGGTTTCTATTGTAATTATAAATTTAAACTGAAGACTGATTTTTAGGAAATGTATTTTTTAAATAAATTTGGCTATTGGGAAAATGTCACTTTAAAGTAAAAAAATAAATTACCTTGCGTATTAATAAACATTATTTCTGTTTATTAATTACACCTGCACTTTGGAACTAGAAGCAGCAGGTACCAAAACCATAAAAATAAACATACTCATTTTAGTTTGAATATCCAATACAAAAATATCAAACCTACAAATACTGGAATGGAAGTAAGATGCTGCGAGCTAGTATTCCATGCAAAGTATATAATTTTGACTGGAGAGACTATGATAAGAGAATTTAATAAACACTGCTTGTTAATCTGATCAAAATTAATAGTTAAGCACATATTTTAGACTGGATCTAGTACAGTATACTGAGTAAGCAAAGAGCAAAACTACATAGCTTTTACAAAATTTTAGTCTATCATACGTGCATCAGGAGATTAAAAAAATATTATGCGTGAACTACTAACGAAAAGCTTATTTTTTATTCAGGAATAAGCTAATATTATATTATATCGTAACATTTCCTACTGTAATGAAGTTAAATTACAATAAAAATCTTTTGGCAGTAATTTTTCTTTTTTAACAGTCTGAATTGTAATTTTAAAATATGATGTTCCAATGAGATCTAAGTGTCCACTCAAAAAATCATTCAACTTACACGCGATTTTTATGTTATCAAATAAATCATGTTCTCATGTTATCAAATGTACGTTATAAGGTATTTCTCCAGCCTTCTTGACATGACTTCATGGTGTGGTGGTCTGCACGCTGGGTGCGCATTCCAGAGGTCCGTGGTTCGACACCCGGCGAAGGCATTGCTCATTTTTCATCACTCCTGCTTCGAAATAACCTAATGACTCTACAGTGGCGCCCGAACTGAAAGGGTGGTGGATGATGATTCTCCACACCCAGGATTTGGCGAAAGGGTCCCCTTAAACCCCAGTCGCCCTTTAAAAGGGGGAGTATATAAGGTATTTCTCTCGCCTTCTTGGCATGCCTTCATGGTGTGGTGGTCCGCATGCTGGTCCGCATTCCAGAGGTCCGTGGTTCAAATTCCGGCGAAGGCGTTGCTCATTTTTTTTCACTCCTGCTTCGAAATAACCTAATGTCTCTACAACGTAACGCCGGAATCTTAAAGATATTCCTACTATAAAAAGGAATAAGCATTACAAGTTTTATTTACTTTTACCATACAGGACCAATGGAGCAAAATTCAATACTTCTTTCCATTATAATTAGCACAACTGCGCAACAACAAACTTTGATACTTTACTACACGTTAAGAATTCACGTTTTTAAATCATTCGATACAGCGCTCTCCGATAGCTTCTCCGATTTTGTTAATTTTGGCTCTGTAGCAACTTCAGTTACTTTCTCACGACCACACAGAAATTCCCGGAATCGTAACGTCTTCAGCTATACTCTGACTTCCAGACATCAATTGCCGGAAAAATTTAACATTCCTTTTAATCACATAGTGTTTTCAACTCTTTGTTTCATTTCAAGGCGTTTCCAAGGGGAACACTGTTTCATTTTTGAGAACAACTGGAACGTGGAAATCCTTCGCTCAAAGTTCCCAAGCATCTATTTGTACGCGTATTGTTATGCATCGACTGTCCGTCGCTAACCACCCTTGTGGATGGTTCTAAATTAGATCCTAGGAATTCTCAAGGAAATTTTTCCCAGGCCTATCAGCATTATACCTGCAAAGAATCAGAGTGCATTCGCCAATCGAGACAAGCTCTGAAAATTTTGGGCAAATGAGAATCAAGGGTCTTCCCGAGACGCCTAGAAAATCCCGCATAAAAACGATGATCCCCTCTCCGGTGTTAGTTAGTGAAAGGGAGATATTTCTTGTTTTGTAACTTTAGATCTGCCATGAGCATTTTCGGCTCCCTTTATCAAAAGCATCTTCCTACATCTTTGCAAAAAGATCCGGTAACCGATAGCCGGGTATCCGTTACATACCTGAGAGCAACTTGATCAGAATGGCCACCTGTGGCCAGGAGATGATAAAAAAAAGCTATTTTCTCTTATCCAAATATTCATGCTGCACTAGGTATAACTTTCGAAAAACAGCGTTCGACTAACGGACAGGGAACTTTCGCACAGAATTTGCGAAACTTGTTTTTATCAACGTGAACCAACGAACACTTTATATTGTAAGTTATTAACATAACCTAGAATTTCAAATAAATTACATACGCTACCTCCTTTGCTTTGTGTCAACTCGTTACAGCGAGCATACGTAAGGCCAGTTTACACCTGTCCGAGCAGCTCATAGCGAGCCGTTCGTTACGACTTCTTTGACAATGTAAACGCTCACTTCGACCAAGTAGAAACGTAGGGGAGATGAGTCAGAGGTTTCGTTTCTACTTTGAATCTGTTGAAAAATCTATCCGGGCAGTTACTCCGAGCAGCGGTCGCAGAGACGTCGTGACAATGAGTTCTATAACGTCGAAAATGCCGAGATGGAGCGATAGCCAAACCATGGCATTTTTTAATACATACGCATCTTATGAAGTGTTATGGAACGCTTCACTGCTTCATTAATAAGTTGCATACTTCTATAATTATGTGAGCTTATATTCATTTTTCTATAAGCATCCCTACATGAGGATGCAATAAATATATGATATTATAAACTATAAAAATGGAATTATGAAAAAAATATGTAGATCTGTTTTATTGGGGATATTTAAATTTGTTACTTTGTATAAAAACATTCTGAGGTATAATTTGTTACAATTCAGCTTAGATGAGAAACACTGAGTACAAGTACTTAAGGCGTATTAAGGTTTATACAAATTATGCTAGATGAATTCTAATTTTCTTAAACTATCCATTTCAGCATTTTAATAGTTTAATTACTTTGTTCAATTACTGTGTGTGTGTGTGTGTGATTATGGCAAAGCTTCGAGGGCTATCTGCCTAAGGGGAGAGATGCCTTCGTGGAAGACTTTCTAAGGGAAACTGGCTCGTATACACGTTACACATGGGGAAAACCAGTTTAATTACTGTATTTAATATTTATTGATATCACTTTATATATTATTTGTGCGTTGTCCAGAAACACAATTTCAGTAGGATCCTAAAATAACAATTTGCGATAAGTATTTTCCTGTTGGAACTATGTCATAATATATATTTATTCCTTTACCTGTGATAATATATGTAATATTCCCAAGTTTTTTTGCTACTTCTTATTTATTTAAGATTTTTCTGAATAATTAGGTAGATATAATACAGTTTATTTCTGTCGTGTTAATGGTAGCCTTGAATAAATATTCCATGTGTTAATTTTACATTAAGTTCTAGAAATAATACAGTTCCAGTCAGAACTCTGCGTAATTAGTTACATGCACAGAGAAATACTGATTTTGTGGATTCTGGATGAATAAATATATTCTTTCTATTAATAAATAATAAAACACATTATTTATTTCACATTACTTTGTTTATAGATGATTAATTAGATGTAAATAAACAGTTATATATAGTATAAAAACTTTGTTAACTTGAATTTCAATAACCACAGTTGACTAAATAACTTCCCTCAATAAACTGAGTTTCTTTGAAATTGATTGTCATTTAACTTCCCTTAATAAACTGAATTTCTTTTAAATCGTTTAATGAATATACTTTGAAAGTTAATAAATTTCAGTTATGTTTACAGAATATATTTTAAGTCCCTTGTATCTGAAATACAATAAAGTTTGTGTATCTTTGGACATTCTCGTCCCGAAAGTCATTTAATAGTTGATTTGATGCTCCTAATACATCGCGGCGTGCTGCCCAGTCACGTACTCATTTCTTTTACTTCTTTATTTTTTTCAAGAACAGACATTAATTCGTTTGAAACTGTTCCGTAGACTTCAAGCACTGCAGCTGCCACGTAGGTATCCATTTTGTAAACAAACGGACGCGAGTTGTCAGTCCACTCTGATTGGTGTAAACAATCTATTGGAGTACTGATCCGTTCACTTGGTTCGAGATGCCCGGACGAGCGGCTCGCTACAAGCTGCTCGGACAGGTGTAAACTGGCCTGTCGATTAATTTCAAGACCTGACTTTAGACCTGCTAAATTTGCCGTACGATGCTAACTTTCAACATAATATTTCTCAGTGGCTTTCTGCGTTGCTGAAGCCATATTTCTTCTCTCATTCAAACTTTTTGACAAATAGAGGAAACACGTTTGTAAAAGAGGTCTATTCTAACCTCCTTGATTTGTTTATTGTTCTCAGAAACTTCTCGTCTTCTCATCAATGACAAAGCAATAAATGTGTCTTCTACCCTTCGGGAAGAAGAAGACCAAGACCTTCGGGATTGTTATCGAACGTCCGGCGCCTTTTTATACGGTCTGTCCATCCACGGTTTACACTACAATTTACCCTTTGGGGGGGGACGAAACAAACTCCTCTAAGTGGAATATCCAGTAGCGCCCTTCAAATATATGAAATTGTTTTTTATTCTTTAGAATGTTGGGGCGACCCAGTGTCACCTGAATCCCATTCTCAAAGTAAAAGACAATGGATTAAATAACAAAGGTCAAAAATATTAAATACTTCAAGACATAATGTAACATAACATTGAAACGACGTTACATTTTAATTGCATGATGTCTTGTGAATGTTGATATATTTTCGAAAATTACTTGAATGCTCAAACTGAAAATTGCACAGCACACAGGCAAGAAAACTCTGATCCTTTTCACCCATTATGAATGAAGCATTGTATTCTACCTGAGAAAAATATGTTTGAGAATTGCTTTAATGTTACCTTAAATCATACAGCAGTAGTACACCTATTTGGGAATACAAATGTTAAGTCATAAAAATTTACAAACAGTTTATAAGGAATTTTAATACACTGCTGGCCACCCAAATTGCAATACCAAGAAAGACAAGAGATATAACAGCAAAATTTATTTAGTAGATAAAATGTTGACCAAGTATCAAATGATTAAATTTATAGACTTCCGTGAAGTGCGGTTCCTTCCAGAATCAGCAGCCAGAGTAGCCGCCATTGTTGGAGACCACCGCTGCTACACGCCTCGGCATTGATTCAAAGAGACTTTGGATGCGTTCTTGGGGTACAGCAGACCAAGCAGCTTCCACGCGTTGCCAAAGTTGATCTGGTGTGGCAGCTTGGGATGTAATCTGGGTTAATCGTTCAGCAACCATGGACCACATGTTTTCTATCGGCGAAAGATCCGGAGAGTGAGCTGGCCAGGGAAGCAATTCAATCTGGCGATTGACGAAGAACCCTTGGACAATGCGTGCCACGTGTGGTCGCGCATTATGCTGTTGAAATATGGCTGCGGGCAAGCCCTGAAGGTAAGGAAGGACAACTGGCTCCAACACCTCGGAGATGTAGCGCTGGCTGTTTAAAGTATCGGCGATGCGTATTAGAGGAGTGCCAGAGTGATATCCAATACCACCCCATATCAAAATACCCGGTGCAGGACCAGTGTGACGGTGCATAACGTAGCTGTTCAGCATCCTCTCTCCACGGTGTCTCCAGACTCGAATCCGACCATCGTGGTGTAGCAGACAGAAGCGTGACTCGTCAGTAAAGACAATTTCATTCCATTCTGCTATCCACATCCTTCTTTCATCGCACCATTGGCGGCGGAGACGTCTGTGGTTCTGCGTCAAGGGTAGACGAAGCAATAGACGTCTTGCGGACAGACCACTTTGCTGTAAACGGCGTCGAATGGTACGCGCAGACACTGAATGATGCGTTACAGACTGAATGGGCTGTGCTATGGTTCGTGATGTGATTGAGCGATTCGTCAGTGCCATGCGCACAATGTTCCTGTCATCACGTGAAGTGGTGCACTGAGGTGGATGTGATCGAACACGTCGGTCCGTCGTACCCTTTTGCATCCAACGTTCACATATCGGCATTACAGTTGTTTGGTTTCGTCCAACACGACTACTGACTACTACCCTGGAAGATAATCCACACTCTCGGTGGGCCACTATCCTTTCTCTGTAGAACTCGGGTACTTGATCAAGCGATGATCGCTGTTTACTACGAGGCATAATTGATCGTTTTTTTTGAAAAAAAAAAAAAAAACCACAAGAAAAACACAACTGCCGAACTTGAAATCGTCTAAAACTCCAAGCCTTAAATAGCGCTTTGAAGTGAAGCCACAGGCGCGCGTGATGTGCGTGTGCGCTAAAATTCTAATCATTTGCATATCTCACCTCCACTAATGCATGTTGTAAATTTCATGTTATTTGCATGCTTTGGTGTTGCATTTTCGGTGGCCAGCAGTGTATTTACACCTATATGTTTCTGAAAGAATAATAATTACCCTCTCCTCCTTTTTTACAAAAATATCAGAACTGCGATTGTATAGTAATGTAAAGTAACACTATTTTACTATGCTTAGGATACTAAACTAGCACTCGGTAAAGGATATATTATCAAGAACGGAGGGAAGACCTCTATCAAACCTACATGAAAAAACTCATAGGATGTACACCTAATAATGCTAGTTTACAGCTTTATGTAAAGAATTTGACAACTAACCTAAGACAATTTTCGATCAACTTCAATTTTCTTTCAATCGACTGAACTTGGGTAACTGCTTCATACTTTAGCATCTATAAGAAAAATAATGAATAGTAATTATGTAATTATCGAAAAAGAATTTTTACATTCAGGGTTCCAAATGCAATAAAACTAGTCTAGTCTAGTCTAGCAATAAAACTTATTTAAAATATATTCACGTTATCCAAATCTAAAATAATATATACAAATATCTCACAAAAACTGATTGACAGTAAAAATAATTCTTTCATAAGTTTATGGAACGTTTCAGACTACATTATTATTATCATTTACCCTAGTAAACTCAATTAACAGAATTGTAATAAACAGTACATTTATTATTTTTTATACTTTTGTTTATTGTTATATTTATGTGATAGTAAAGTATGTAAGAATTTCAAACAAATACACTTAGTTCAGAAATGTTCTCATAATTTTTTCTACTATAACAAAACTTACGGCTTGAAACAGTTATCATTTGAATGCTACAAAGAAACACATGGTGTTTTTTTTTTTTTTTTAATTGACACTACTCAGAGCCATCTGTAGCTCAACTGGTCAGCTAGAATGCCACCAGATTTGCTCGGAGGACTAATGACGACATGGGAAAAAAAGATTCGATCAAAAAAATAGTTCCGAAAATTGCCGATAGGAGAAAATATGGCGTTGTTCTTGTCTACACAACTGAAAATTTGAATGAAACGTAAGTAAAATTTGAAAATACAAATGCTCGGTTACGTAAACGACGGTAGCGTCAATAATTGAGTCCATAAAGGTATGAGAAAAACAACGAAGGGCATTCCGAATGTTAGCTGGGTTCAACATGTGTCTCACTTTCACTCAGCGCGCACTATTTATGAAGTTTTTGGTCATCATTAATCGGACGCAGCCGCCGCTCTTCGTGAGTTTAGCAGTCGTAACAACCTATGTAACGGTTGTTACAATCAGTTAATGCACTGAAGGGCATGTATCAGAATTTTAAAGAAACAGGATCCTTAGCAGTTCGGTTTGGTAGAGGACGGAAACTGGTGTCAGGACAGATAGCTTCGGATGTCGCGACTGCAATCGCTGACGGCCCCCATTGCTGTTAGTAGGAATGCACAGGGGAACAGCGCAACAACTGGATATCTTTCAACAGTATGGAAAATCTTGAGGAAAGTGCTTCATTTCTATCAATTCAAGATAAGCTTAGCAGGAATTAAAACACAACGATTATGATAAATGGGTGCCATTTGCTCTGACTGAAGGCGATGATGGTTGTCTATGAAGAATTTTGTGGGAGGATGAGGCCCATTTTCACCTAAATGAGGCTCTTACCCTCACAATTCTCGAATTTGGGCATCTGAAAAATTCCACGCAGTTCATGAAATCCCAATACATTCATAAAAAGTCACTGTTTGGTGTCGCTTCACCGCAAATTGATCAGTAGACTATTCTTTTTTGAGAACATTATTCTAACAGACCACAAATCTATACTGTTACCACGCAAATGTATCGTGACACGCTGACCATTTTTATCATTCAGGAAGTTCAGAGACAGTGGCTGTATCAGGTAACTTTAAAGCAAGATGGAGATCACAGCCCATTGGTCTATCAGTGCAGCGGCTTGCACCGATAGACAACTGTTGACTGTGCAGTACAACATATCAATGGCTTTGCTGGCTTTCCTGGTAGGATGTTACATTCGGCCGTCGGGAATGTTGCGTATAGGATGCAATATGTGATCCACGAGAAGGTAGTCATATTGTAAGAGGTCTATGCTCTCACCGAGGAAGCGCTTTTATTGAGTAAAGTGCTACGGCGTACTCAAATATTATTTCCGTAACCATTTGAAGCATTTTATTTGCTGCATTAAAGCGGTGTTGAAAGCAAATATTTTTTTTTTTTTTTTGTTTGTTATAGATTTGCCTAGTTCTCATCTGCATACACTACAATAGCTTCACATTTTCCTCTAGCGGCATTTTTTTCCTTTGAAATTTTTTCCCATGTTGTTATTAGTCCCCTTACCAAATTCGATGGCATTCCAGATGGTAGATCGAGCTACAGATGGCACATTCACAGTGCATGACCAAAACAGAAATTTGATTAAATTGCAGAAAAGCCCTGTGCATAGACTTGATAATTTTACTGTGTTCAACGTATTGCGCGTATTAGGGATTCTTTTCCTTTTTTTTGGTTTCCTTTTCTTAATAGACAATGATAAAATTAATGATCTTTCAAAACTGCATGAATTTTTTCTAAACTAAAACACTGCTCAAACTGCGTCGCAGCCCACAGGTTTCATAGCTTTCGAGCGAAATTCTAATTCAAGCCGGAGCTCCAAATAAGACGATGTCTAGTATTTTATTAATTTATTTACCATTAATTTAATAATTTTATAAAATTAATATATTAATAATTAATTAATTAATTTTTATTAAATTTATATAAGAGATGTTCAAATGAAAAGGTACGAAACGTCGTAACAACCAAACCGGTTTCAATTTGATTATGCCGCTTTGGCATAACGTCGTGAAACATCTAAGGGCGCGAATGCAGTACCCAACATGGCCGTGCGCATTTGCAAACGCCCGCACATGACGCCAGAGTGAAGAAGGCAGTTGTGTGTTCCGTACAATTAATGAGGAAACACGTGTGATGCCATCTTGGCGTTCTCAATGCAAAATTCGATGACTGAGAAGCAGCGAGATGTTATCAGATTTCTGACTCTGGAAGGGGTTAAACCAGCCGATATTCATCACCGAAAAGTGGCTGTATACGGAGCAGACTGTGTGTCGAACAAGTAATCACTCTGGGCTTCCCAGAGTACGTCACAGCCATCACTTACTTCTATCTTAAGGATAGACACTTTATCGTTCGTGTAAACAGTTCACTCTCTACCCCACGGGCTATAAAGGCTGGCATCCCGGAAGGGAGCCTCCTTGGGCCCATTTACTATAATATCTACACGAACGATATCCCACAATCACCACACACCACCCTAGCTATGTACGCCGATGACACGGCAATTCTCTCAAAAAATGCATCTCCTGGCCCAGTTATACAAGCACTTCAAACACACATTCATACACTCGAGTCCTGGCTCAACGCCTGGAAAGTAAAGATTAATGTGGATAAGTCTGAGGCCGTCTGGTTCACCAAAAGGACTAGCATCGATAACGAAGACTCCATCCACATGTACGAGATCCCTATTCAGTGGACTAAGCAAGCCCGATACCTTGGAATTATTTTGGATAGGCGACTCACCTGGATCCCACATATTACACAGATTATAGCCAAGTTCTGTATCCGTAAATGAACATTTACCCCTTTAATTGACCGGAACTCAGTTCTTCCTTTTGACAACAAATTACTCATTTACAAAACCCTTTTGCATCCCATCCTCTCATAGGCCTGTCCTATTTGGGGATACGCTAGTTTTACTAATGTAAAGAAACTCCAAATACTGCAGAATATCTTACTCAGACAAGCGGCGAATTGTCAGAAACTCGGCAATTCACCAAGAGCTTGAAGTACCAACTTTATATGTTCTCTTTGCTAGTCTTGCAGAACAATTTTATAAAAATATACCAAATGTTAATAACAGCACCATACCAGTGCTAAACTATAATTATAATATTGACAGCAATAGAAAACAGGCCGCTTGCGGGCCTCAGATACCTTGATCAGTAACTGTCTTTCTAACCATTCATATACCTAGTTGCCCACCTTAATTATATCTATGCACAATCTCATACTGCATTGTTTTTCTGGTCAGCTGCTAATTGTTGTATAGATTTACCCGTATATAATGTACATATTTCCCTATTTTTTATTATGCATTTATGTTTACTGTTATTTCATGTTATGCACTCCTAATATGTATACATTGCACATGAGAGACTCTCAATTCTGTGAGCTAAGGCATTTCTTTTACCACGCCATTTGCCTTCGTCATGGCCTGCACCGCAGGTGTGTTTCTGTTGGACTCATTTATGTGCTCACTCAGACTACGAAATGTTCTTGAACTTTTATTTTCTTCGATACGACTCGTAAACTGTTCGAACTTACAAAAAATCGAAAGTCGGAATCATTACGCCGTCTACACGCGGGCACCCGTATTTGCGAACCTCATCGAGTTTGCCTGAGCAGACAAGTCAGTGAGAAAGTGGAGTACCAGTTTTGCTCCATATACGTCCACCATCCGGCAATGAATATCGGTTTAACCACTTCCACACTCAGAAATCTGTTAACATCTCGCTACTCCTTAACTGTTATCCTGTTTCCAAAACAAAGCCCTTTAATCAGATAATCCAGCTACAGATAAGTAAGTAAATAAGCAATCAATAAAGCAATTAGAACTTTTAAAAGCTTTCAATTTCAGGTATACTTGGATTCACATTAAAAGAAATAATCGGAATGGGAAGAAACAAAAACAGCTTACTTTACTTTTGAACTTGAATGAAATCATAAAATAAAATCTTGCTATTCAGTTACATAATGCTTTTTGAATGGCATTCAGCATTATTTTTTGTGCTTTAATAGTTGACTGTAAAATGATCCACTAACTTATTTAGTTACCTACTGAAAAATTAATTTAAATACATTAACTCACAGCAGAAAATGCGTTACGATGTTTTTAAAAAATGAACCTCTTATTTCACTTAACAAAATGCAGAGTAATTTAGAAAATTTAAAAAAAAATTCTTTATGCAATAAAGAAATTTTACATACCGCAGCTTCATTTGGTTTTCCCAGTAACCTAAAAAATATGAAAACGTAAAAGCTATGATATACATAATTAATTAGAAGGTTATCAGAAAGAACTAATCTCAGTAACTGTAAGTTTAATAAAGGATAACAAAAATTAGGATGCACATAAGCAATCGTTTTAAAGGTGCAATAAAATAATATGTCAGTCATAGAACTAGGAAGAATCTTAAAGCATAAGCAACGGAAAATAATTTAAAAGCATTAAAATGACTTTTATCTACTACTATCTCTTATAGGCATGTAGAGTAGTGGAAATTACAAATTCAGGGTTTCACAAGAGCAACTAATCTTAACATGGTATAGTTATTCATTTCAACTCCATTTATTATCTGCATTGTAAGCTTATTTAATAGATAAAAAGTTAATTATTAGTCAATGGAAAGATGCTGATGGGAAATCTCATCGACAGTCAATAAAAAGATGCTGATGGGAAATCTCATCGAAAATCAATGAAAAGAAGTTGCTACGAAATTTGATTACTAGGATTCCAATATCCAACATAATGGTTTGGTTAAGGCCAAAGCATAGTATGATTATCTACCTCAAGAAGAGAGTTTAAGTAGAATCTAAGATGAAGTTACAAAACTTTTCCGGAGCTAATAAGGATAAGACAGTTTTGACAACTTGCATTCTGAAAATTTCCGATTACTACCTAATAACTCAAACAGGATTTTACCATTCTGTTGCCAACTGATGTCAAAAAGAAACCCGTCTGTAAAATAAAATTAAGAAAAGGGAGGATTTCAGTTTCGACGTTTGTTCTTGAATTTCTTTTTTGAATATAAATAATTTAAAAAGAAAAATAGTATTTAAAAGCTCATGTTTGAAAACGAGATTACCGTCCAAATAATGTAACAGAAAAATGACAGAAAGAAAGGGAAAATGAAAACATACAGTGGTTAAACAGTTAAGAATCTGATAGTACAGTGAATTAATCATTCATGGGTAAACTGAGACTTTGAACCTATTGGAGGGAATCTAAATAAATCAAGCTATTATTATCATGTGTTATTGATTACTTAATTTCATTTACTCAAACCAGTGCAACAACCAGTAATCTCAAACATTTTACCTAAAAAGAAATAAACTTTAATCAAATAGTCTTAAGAAATCATTTATCCTGCTGATATATGAAAACATCTATGAAACTTTTATAGGATCTTGGCTTTTCTAAATTTTTAAAAACGGCAAATAAATTTCTTTTTACTTTGTTTGCTTCTATTATCCAAATTGATTTCAGCTTAATATACTCTCTCAAAAGTTAATCGATTTAAACACAAATTTATAACCAGGTATTAAATAGAAAGCTAAGGAATGCCTATAGCCCAAAATCTTAATTGGTTCATTTTAATTTTAAGATATCGAAATAAAATTAATTACTATTTCAAACTTTCTTTCATAAACCATATATTTGAAAATTGTGAATGGAATGGTGCAAATGTTATACAGACTCTATACAAACCGTTTCATGTGCAATATGAGCAAAAACTACGAACGAAATAATACACATTAGGTAGAGCCCCGGATGTCTTAAAAATGAAAAATTAAACATAAAAAACTCCCGTACTATAAACGTTCAGCAGAATAGAAAAATCTGACGAAAGGATAAAATCAGTTTAAAAAGAAGTGATGTAATCATAACAGGACATAACACTAAGCTAAATTTAACACTCAGCAAATTTATTGAGTCTGTAAAATAAACTGACGAATTTTGAATAAAGATTAATTAAAAAAATTTGCAACTAAATTTTAAACATACGTTATTAAAATACATTTAAACAGCAATATATACACATACGTACTGCAGTTTAAATATGCTGTCATGACAATTCCTAAATGTTTAAAATATTGTGGAACACAAGTTTCTAATAAATGTTCTTAAATTTCTATTCCATCAGTAAATTCTAATGAATGACATCTGATTTATAACTGCTTAATATTCTTAATATAACAGTAATGGTGCAAAATTTTAAAATGAAATATGTAAGAAAGGCTATTAAAATCATACAAAAGCATATTTGTCAGTTCATCAGTTTCATGATCTTCTTCTAGGTACGATAAATAAATATTGATTGCATCAGGAAACCTTTGAATTTCTCGATGAAAGACTGATCTCTTCAAAGTGTTTCTTAGGAACATAACTACCTAGAAGGAGGAAAAAATGACTGATTTTGAGAACGCGAAGCATAAGAATACATTTATGAGTTAAAGGAATATCTTACTCAAAATACTCAGCGACATGATACCTACAGCAAGAATGACGTTTCCATCGTGATATTTCACAGCTTCACTTAACAGCTCGATTTTTTCTCTTCTACTTTTAAATGGTTCCAATGAACAGCTCTAAAGTAGATTAAATTATGGATATTAATACATTTTAATTTCAAAAGAAATAACAGATGTATGAAAATATAACATATATATAGATGCTATTGCAATACAGGACGTCCGGAAAAAAGTGATGAACAAGAGCAATACATACATACGACATTCCAACAGTTTGCAAGCAATGCAAATTAGCCATTTTCGAAAGCGTATTTGAATGTGAGTGGCCGAAAGTTCTGAGGATGCAAATAACATATATTGCAGCCAATCACGATTCACTGCACGAACATATATATGCTAATTAGGAAGTCATTGAAGACGTCAGTATTCTGAAGGATTTAAGAAGGTTTATTTAATTGCTGATACGAAGTGTTTATAACTTTCTGGCATACGAGTCTCCACGACTCAAAGAAGACTGACAATAAGCGCTGGCACGGTATCGCATGCATTGAAGCAGGGCAGTCAATCAGAGATGTCGCTGTTTTCTTTGGCGTTAATCATTTGGTGTTTTCTCGGATGAGGAAACAATTCCAAACAAGTCAAACTATTTTGGAGATCAGCATATTTGTAAGGTAAAATCAGTATCAGTATTTGCAGGAATCAGTATTTTAAACTAAGAAACTATTATGATTTGAATCTGTACATCTTCTTTCCGTATGCCTTACCAGAAAACAGATGAGATAACCATTATTTAAGCTGAGATTTCTGGAGTTTGAGACGGAGCATGTTTCTGGGTTTGTGTGCACGATATGTGTTAGTTTCCTACCAGCTTTGCTAGTTGTAATTATTCGGCTTTGCGTTATACGCTGCTGATATTTTGACTCTGAAGCTTCGGGAGAATTACTGAGCCAGCTTCGAGTAATATTAAATTGTGTATTCTTTGACTACTGTTCCACGTTTAACTTAAATTTGATTGTTCTGTTTAGTTCCATCACCACAAGCTATGGCAGATTGTGTCAGCACAAGAGATTGCGTATACATTCTAAATTCTGTTTTAAAAAAATATTATTTACGACTTCTGAAACCTTAATAGTTACTTTAGACATAGCGATAAGCCGCTTTATATGTGTTGGGATTATTAGACTCATTACCAGTTTCACATGAAGTGAAACCCCACATACTGCTACAGCAGTCAAGCAGAATCGACAAGCGATCTCCACAACTGTTGTATCCGTTGTTGCGACGCCACTTGATAAGACAATCTCTGCCAGTATTCTGCACACAAGTCTTCACATGAAGGGACTGCCCGCCCGAGTACCAAGTGTTTGTATTCCACTAATCGCCCAGTCCAGAGGGCTTTTAGTTTAGTTTACTTGACAACGGCAAATCACTCGAAGCTATCGGTAGCTATCGGTCTAAGGGAAGAATGCTTTCGTGAAGGACTTTCTAAAGGAAACTGTCTTGTATCCACATTACTCATGGGAAAAAGTTCAGGCACCCAGCCAGTTCGCCGGGATTCGAAACTCGGACGAACTACCAGTGTTCAGTTATTTATACCGCTCGACCAATGGTGCCCCTCTGATCCAGACAGCCAAGATCAAAGTGATGTCGTCAGTATCTCAGTTGGACTATCTGAGATTGGCGGAATATTCTGGTCACGGATAAGTTCAGATTTGTCCTGGAACCAGATAAGCAGGTAAGGGTCTGGAAAGAGCGAGGCACATGGAATCAGGAGCAAAACGTTATCGAATATCTTGCATTTAAAGGTGGCAGCATCATAGGATGGAATTTCAATGGAATATCGCATCCAGCTGCACATCTTTTAAAGACGGTTTTGTAACGCCTGTGCGTTATCAGGATGAAGTCCTCTATCCCATTATGAGACTCTACGCTGCAACAGTTGGTCCTGATTTCATCCTTATGGATGATACACCCATCCTCATAGAGCCAACATTATTAATGACTGCATGGAAAGGGAGGCATTTTTCGTACGGAATGGACGTCTTATTTCCCCATCTTAATCCTACTGAAAATCTTGGGGATGCCGTCGGACGTGCTATCTGTATATGTTTACTTCCTTCTTCCTCAGACTGTTGAAAACAGCCCTAATGGAGAAATGGCTATGCTAGCATCTACGTCGGTTTATCAAAACTTGAAAACATACAAGTTTGTGTGAAGATTCAGTGTAGTCAGGTACCTTATTAATGTAAGTTTTGTTTATTTGTTTTTAGGTTAAAACATGAATTTTTATACTTTCTCTTTTAAGACGCCTTAACTAAAGGTAATGGGGATGGAAATGTTCATGACACAAACACTGCAACTTTTATTTTGTTAAATCAGCTACCTTTGTCAGCGATCTTTTTTTTTATTTGTTTTCATGTGAAATTCAGGATGAATTATTGGTAAGTATCAAGATTATTCTTCATACTCTGGAAAGGATGACGAAGCTGAGGGCATAAAGTATCTATCATTGGAAAAAACACAGTAAGATTGTAAAATAAATAATTTTTCGGATTCAAAAATAAAAATATAAATATTCTCAGCAAAGTTCAATTTTTAATTTTGTAAAATAAAATCTCCAATATATATATAAAAAAGTATTGTCCCCCCCCCACTCGAGGGCCTCCTCAGGGACGCAACGCACTGGCCTGATTTTACCGGTGGTAGTTACGGTCCTGGTCCCTTGACATGAAAGTTTATTATCTCCGTACGCTTATTCGTCACAATACATCACAACATATCATCATAATTAAATTCATCTGCATCAAATCTATAAGAAATGTTGTAAACTGTATCAGGCTTTAAGAAGCAGAAAACGCGAAAAGTCAAGTTTGCCCTCGCCGAGATTCGAACTCTGGAATTTCTGATTGCCAACCAGATATGCTGCCAATTACAGCAAGACAGCATGCCGCAGGGAAGCCGAAAATTCGTCATATTCTTCCCCAATTAAAGGTGACTGGGTTGGGAGGAGACCCAGTAGCCAAATCTATGTGGTGAAGATTTATGCTACACTATATTTTAGGTGAGTGCCACACGTACAGCTATTTTATAGTTTTTTGTAGCAGAAAATGTGAGTAATCACTACGACTTCCAATCATGGATCTTCTGATTGTTAGCTGAACGTACTATTAGTTACACCCTAAGAATACGCAGTGTGGAAGAAATTCCTTGTATTTTCTCTGATTTTTGAGGGCGACTAGGTTAGGGAAATCAATATGGTGACGAAATATCTTTTTTTTTTATTATTATTTTTTTATTAAAAGAAACACAACAAGTTCCCCATGTACCACATAGTATCACATGGGGCTTACAGAAGTAAGTATGAAACACAATACAAACTAAACAGAAGAGAAAATTGAAATAAAATTAAGGATGATTACACAGTTTTACAATGAATTTGACAAAAAAGTGTTAAAAGCACTTCTCTCGGAAATAATTGGTAAAAATCTGGAGGCCAGTTAATATTAAAATTTTTCAGTCCCAGTTTCAAGACTTTTCTTTCGCTCTCATATTTAGGACATAGAAGAAGCACATGTTCAACATTCTCCTCGCCGCCGAGGACACAGTCACAGACAGACTCAGGACTCAACTTAAATCTGTTCAAATAACTTTTAAAATTCCCATGTCCAGTAAGAAATTGGGTTAATTTATAATTTGTGAAGAAATGATGACATGACAATCTCATTTCAATAGAAGGGAAAAATCTTCTATTTAAACTCCCTTTATTTGAATTGATGAATTCGTGATTCCACGACTCCACAATGCTTTCATACATGACCTTCTTATAAGAAGGAATTAGGGATATTGACAAAAGTGTCAATTTCCCGCTTAGTCGCAGTCTTAGCAAGGAAATCGGCTCGTTCGTTCTCAACAACACCTGTATGATCACGAACAAATGAAACCGAAATATTTTTATCCTTTAGATTTTTCAGTTCTTTTTGAATCTCGATAATGATATTATTAGAAGAAGAAATACATTTTAAGATCCCCAAGGATGAAAGGGAATCAGTATAAATGAGATAGTCTGAAACAGCACTGTTTTGTTTAGAGACCCATTTGACGGCGAAGTTTAAGCACAAAAGTTCAGCTATGAAAACAGTACATTCATCTCTGATTCTAAATTCAAAGTGCTCAAATTTAAGACCATTTTTGAAGACAACAAATGCGAGACCAACCTTGCCATCAATTTTGCTGCCATCAGTATAGCAAGTTACAGGCGAATCATCTACGATTTTATTGCTAAACTGAATAAAATTAACAGCATTTCTTTCCGAAGGATGAGGGAGATCAGATAGAGGTAATATACAATCATACTGAGAGACAGTAGAAGCAGAAATATTTTCCTTATAAGCAACAGAATGAAGAATGGCAATGTCAATTGGAGGAAAGCCAGAAATTGCATAAACAGACTCATAGCTTACGGTACGATATCCACATATGACCCGCAGAAGTATCCGCCTTTGAACACATCGTAAATATCTATAATTTATCTTCTTCTTGAGCGATATACCCCAGACTCTAGAGCCATACATAATGAAGGGGGCAATTCCTTGTTTATAGATGAGCGAATGAACGTTTTAATTAATACCGTATGTGTTGCGTGCAATACGACTTAATCCACGCTGTAATTTATCACATTTCTCTGATACATAAGTTAAGTGTTGTTTCCAAGAAAATTTACGGTCAAGAAAACCCCAAGATATTTCATTTGCTTTACCACAGTCAAAGGGGTGCCATCGAGAGATAACTGAAATGCATCATAACAGATGTTTCGCTTTTCAATAATCATAACCCTGGTTTTATCAGGATTAAAATCTAATTTAAAACCTTTTGACCAGTTGGAGGCGAAATTTAAAGTCTCTTGTGCCTGTAAAAAAAGTAGCAGAAAGGTCCCTACTCTGGAAGCAAAACAAAACATCATCCGCAAAGGCTATAGTATCACAACAAGCAAGATTTTCCAGTTTTAATAGGAGATCATTAATAATAATATTCCAAAACGTAGGTCCTGAAACAGAACCTTGAGGGCAACCCCTTTCAAGGTGACGGATTGCAGAAGCCGAGCCCAATTGCAATTTGGC